AGCAGGAAGGCCAGTGGAGGGGAAGCCCCTGCTGCCTGTGCCCCGTGGGGCCGTCTGGGGGGGCCGTGCTGCCCTGAGCACGGCCGGGGCTCCGGGGAGGGAAAAGTGACCTCTAGGACGTCACCCCGGCTCTGGCTGCTTAAGGATCGTACCGTTCAGCCCCCAGACCAGCCCTTTCCTTCCTGGCCCGTAACTTTCCTCTTCTCCCTGCTGGCTTTGAGCTACGTGACAAAACCAGTGCCCTGCCGGCTGGGACGCCGGCCCCTTTACAGGCCTGTGTCCCTGCCTCTCGGGGCTTTGATTTCGGCAGCCCCAGCAGGTCAAATTGATTGGATTTCCTCCGCTCCCAGGTGTCGCAGGAGGACACGAGAGCTCAGTTTCTCGTTCCTGTGGGCTCCCTGGGCCGCAACAGAGCGGAAGCCTCTTTGGAGCGGGCTCAGAACCTCAACCCCATGGTGGACGTGAAAGCCGACCCCGGGAACATCGAAGACAAAGCTGAGGAGTTCTTCGCTCAGTTCGATGCTGTACGTGGCAGCGGGGCGTGGGGCGGGGGCTGGGCCCGCGAGCTCTTGGGCAGGGAATTCAAGTGGCTTGAAAAAGGGGCGGAAGGAGACGGGTGCGAATCTCGCCGCAGGTGCTAAAACCGGCCACGTCCGTGTCGCTCGCACCAGTGCGTTTCCAGAGGGACGCTCCACCCCCGAGCCGGGTTTAAACCCGTTGAAGCACAGCCCTGCAGGGAGTCCCACCTGTGCAACTAAACCGGTTTAAAAGAGCGGCTGTAGTAGCCTGACGCACCTGTGTGCGTGGAGCGTGGCTGCAGGGCTGGCAACTCAGAGGCAAATTTCCAGCTAAAATCTCTTCCGGCGACATTGCAAACCTGTTACCGTCACGCAAGTAAGCGTTGTCCACTTCCCTGATTTCTTAGTGTTTCCTTCCAGCCCCCGCCCCCAAACCAGTGCAATGAATTCCTGCACAATTTACCGTTGGGACGCCAGCTAGCAGAGAGCGTCCCTTTGAACGCTAGGTCCCCTGGCTTCTGCAGAGCCACTGGGTTGGTCTGCGGGCGCTTTGCGGAGGGATTGGCACTGCATCTCTGCTTTGGCCAGCTGGGTATCTGTTCGTAAGCGGCAGCCTGGCCTGGCCTGCCTCTGGTCGGCAAAGCTGGAGGAGGGAATAAGGCCTGATTTATCCAGGAGACGGGAGCAGCTATTCCGTCCCGCACAGGGTGCGCTGTGGTCTGGATCGCGGCTCCGTCGCCCTGTGCGGAGAGGCCCCCTGCAGCAAGATGAAAAGCTCGGTGGAAGCTGGGCCCCCGGGCCGCCCGGAGCCAGGACGGTTGGAATGGGCAGCTCCGGGTGACGCTGCCAGGCGGGCCAAGCGATACAAGCTGCTCTTTGGCTGGTCTCTGCCCGTGTGCCGCCATAGGCCGAGAGGTCCCCGCCCTCCCGGCGGCTTGGTCCATGGGGCTGAGGATGACTCCGGCCCTCCCGCTTCCTCCCAGGTCTGCCTCACGTGTTGCTCCCGCTGCGTCATGGTGAAGGTCGATCAGATCTGCCACCAGAACGGCATCAAGTTCTTCGCCGGCATGTTCGCCGACCTGGGGGCGCACGAGTTTGTGGAGTGAGTCTGGCGTTGGGGGAGGGGAGCCGGCCTGCCCCCGCGCTCGGGCGCTGCGCTTCTGCCAGCTGCCGTGCTAGCAGGAGGGGTCAGGCAGCTGCCGGAGGCGCCGTTGTTAACGTGCCAGGCAGCACCTGGTGTGGACGGAAGGGAGCAGCCCAGGAAACTACAGGATGGGGTGTGATGTCGGCAACTCGCTTGTGGGACGGACACAGACACACGCACACACACACACCCCGCCCTGTGTGTGCAGGGAAGCCAGACCAGGCCGGGGGCTGCGTGTTGGGGGCCACGTGCTGCAGTTGGGTGCAGTTGCGGGTGGGTTTCCGCAGTGGCAGCCTGTCTCCCCCTCCGCTCGCTGCCAGGCACGCAAGCCCCCTGCGGCCGGGCTCAGCGGGGGTCCAGGCATCCCGTGTGAGAGACACGGAGCTGCTGGCCTTCCTCGTGATGCCGGCCTGAGTCTGGCCTCCCCCTGCCAGGGGCTGCCGTGGCACATCTCCCTCCCTCTCTCTGCAGAGAGAAAACCAAGGTCGCCAAAAGCAGCCAGGGGGTGGAAGACGGGCCCGACACCAAGAAAGCCAAGCTGGATTCCACAGAGACCACCATGGTGAAGAAGGTGCGTGGCGGGGTCCCTGCTGCCCACCGCTGAACACCCGCGTTACAGGGGACCCTCCGGCCTGTGTCCAGGTGGACCCCCAGCAGAGGTGCGGGGTAGGGCCCGGCGAGGGTGCGCCCCTCTCCCCACCGCCCAGCGTAGCCCCCCGCTTGGCTTCCCTCTGCCGCTTGTCGGCCACGGGGCCTAGGTCTGTGGCCCGAGACCCACGCCAGGCCACAAGGCCTGCAGCGTGGGGCTGTGGTATCCCATGGGCCAGCGCCTCGGCCCTCCCGCTGGTTGTCGTGTCCGCCAGAGGGGCTGCAGCGTGGGGCTGTGGTATCCCATGGGCCAGCGCCTCGGCCCTCCCGCTGGTTGTCGTGTCCCGGGTCTCCCCTGGCGTGCGGGTCCCTGGTCCTTTCTTTCCAGCCGGAGCCTAGATCCTCGGGGGCGCTGGGAGCCGTACGAGTGGCCAGTGCGCACGGGGGGCGGGCCGTGGGCGGGTCTCAGCGGGGGG